CACTAAGGAGTAGGCTTGAGATAGGGTCACACTATCTCTCATTAGTAGTTGTTGTCTCGCAACATCATATTCAGAATTCAAACCAACTAGGAACTCAAAAACCCTATTAGTTTCAACCAGCTTTCTGTAAGTCTGTGCATCCTTCTGACTTTCCCACTCAATTGTTTCTAGGTGGTCAATTTCATGCCACAAGGATTTCAAGGTTGAGAAGTAAACCTAGACTAGTTTCTCTCCTTGCTTAAGATTATTAACCTCACATTTCAGCTCATAAGCCCTAGAAACATTAAGGGGTTGGGAGTAGGTCTCTTTCATGATGTCCCAAATTTCCTTAGTTGTTTTTGCCCACAAGTAGTTTCGGCTGATATGTGGTTGCATGGAGTTGCACAACCATGTCATAACCAAATAGTTCTCCTAAACCCATTTGGCATAAGTTTGATCCTCCTTAGTTGGTTCCTTCACATCCCCCAACAAATAATTTAGTTTTCCTCTACCCCCAATGGCCATCATGGCTGATTGGGCCCATTCTAAGTAATTTGATCCATCAAACTTAATAGTTGTAATCTGACAGGTGTTCTCAGATATGTTACCAGAACCACCAACCCCAAAAACACCTTCCCCTTGGTTCTTGGTTAAGATGTTAATCAAAAAACACTTTTTTATCACTGTGATAAGAGAAACTGCACCCAAAAATTGATAACAGCCAACCTAGAAGGATGAATTAGGTTCGACAACTACCCAGAAAAAAATAAACAACTCTACTAGATCTCCAAAGAACAAGAACACTCAGTCTAGAATAAAAAAAAGGTCTAACTACTGCCCAAAATTAACAGCAGTCTTGAATTTTAGGGTTTTCTCTTAAAACCCTAAAAAACTCAGGAGAAGAGAGGAGATTTCCCATCCGCACCTCTCAGAATAAGAAAAAATAATCTTTTTTAGCTCGACCTCAAGAAAAACAACTTACTTCGTGAAAAAACTCTGGCCGCCACCTTCAAACTGATATTTGAACCCTAATCTTGAGGATTCGAACCTACTTCTGATTCTTCCTAGTCACTGGATCTCTCCAAGACTCTACAATCTCTTTAGTAGCAGCCTCACACTACCAACAACCTCCAAGAATCAGCCGATGACCTTCTTTCTGCTGAAACTTCCAAACCTATGAGGTTCTCATGTAGTCGGCCTCATTAGACTAGCATAAGAACTTCTAGGTTGGCTCTGATACCAAGTAGTCAAATAGGACTACAATCTGTCCTAGGTTTAATGAGAAATTAACAAACAAAGATTGAAAGGAGAGAAAAGGATAAGAGAAGAGAAGAGAAGAGGAGAAGAAGAACTCGAAGAAGGGAATTCAGAAAAGAGAGAGAGACAATCAACAGCCGCCCCACTCTTACAATTTATATTAATATTTGAATGCAAGTAAGAGGGCTGAATTACCCTTACTGCTTACATGGCAAAATAATAAAAGAAAACTAATAACTATAAACTGAAATAAACTACCAACTAACAAACTAAAATAACTAACTGCTAACTACAGCTTAACTACAGTCATACGAACACAATGGGGACCACATCAGTGGTCTCTATAGGATCTATCAGCTAACCTCGCTTTATCCTTGCCAGAAAGAAGGGTGTATGATTGGAAAAATGTTGACTTACCAGTCATGTGATTGGAAGCACCAGAATCAATACTCCATGGAGATTCGGAGGTATCAGTAGACACATGGAATGCAGAAGCTAATTTATCTAAGGAAGAAGCAAAAGAGGTTGAAGGAGTAGGTCCAGAATCTGCTTGTGTGAGAGCCCTACCATATTGCTCCAAATGGTCACGAAAGGCAGTGATAATTATTTCCTTAAAATCAGACCTAGGGGGGCAATCCTGGGAGTTCACAGTAGTTCCTCTACTTTGCGACTCATGAGAGGCCAAGTTAGCCTAGGTGAACCTCTCCTGATTTGGTTTCTTGTTTTGTTCTTGTGCTGATTTCTTATTTAGGTCTTGTGCCCACTTCAGCTTACCATGCAATTCCCAACATGTCTCCCGTGTGTGTCGGGATTTCTGACAATGAGTGCACCACAGTTAATCCTTATCATCAACCCTTTTCTGGCCATCTCCCTTTCTTGCTGAATTGGTATCATCTCTTGGGCTAAAGCAATGGTCTCCCCTCGGGGGGATTCATGGCAGATTTTCTACTTTCCTCAGATTGAACCAAAGCATACACCTCTTGGACAGAAGGAAGATCCTTGCTGCCCAAAATTTGAACTCGAATGGGTTCATATATGGGATTAAGCCCCAACAAAAAAGTAAACACCCACTACTGTGACACTAACTGTTTGTAGGCTTTGGCATCACTTGAAAGAAGAAGAAGAAGAAGAAGAAGAAGAAGAAGAACTGTTTACTGTATTACAGGTTTGAAGAGAAGAAAAGAGAGAAAGAGAAAGAGAGAGAGAGAGAGAGAGAGAGAGAGGAGAGGAGAAAAGAAAGAAGGGGTTCAGTGGTGAATGATCTGCTGCCCCATACACTACTTTATTTATAGCTTTTAGGATCCTTACAAGAATAGGAAATAAACAAAAAATAGAAACAATAAGGCCAGCCAGCCCAACTTAACAGAAATTACAAACTTCTAATAACAGAAATTAGAAACTACTACAAAGAAAATAGAAACTACCAATAAAAGAAATTAGAAACAACTAGGTGTGGGTATGAAACCACACACACTAGAGCCTGAGTGTGAGTATGGAACCCCACACTCGTGGCTAACCAACTATTTCTTCAGCATCCTTTTCACTCTCCCACTCAATGTTCTGATAGTAATCTAACTCTTTCCAGATAGATGTGAGGTCAGAATAGTAGGTGGATAAGTTTCTTTCCCCTTGTTTAATGTTGTAGACGGCTTGCAATTGATAGATTCTAGCCTAGTATCTCTGCTAGGAGTAAGTTGACCTTGCTTGTTCACATATTTCCTTGGCTGTCTCAGCCCACATAAAGTTACGCTTAACTGATGGTAGCATAGTAGTCAAAAGCCATGACATAACATAATCATGCAGTTTTCCTGGTCCCACTTATCATATTCAGCAGTACCAGTCCTAGGTTCCTTCACTTTTCCATTGATATACCCGGCCTTACCCCGGGCTGTGATGTACAGCAACATCTCCTTAGACCATGTCAAATAGTTTCTGCCATCTAAGGGAGTAATGGTTGTTGGAAAGCTCATAGAGTCAAGACTGTTGTTCATTCCTCCTTGGTTGAAAGAAGTTCCAGAGGTTGCACAGTCTTCAGAGGCCATAACAAAGGCTGCTATCATAAGTTTCAGACCTACAACCCTTCCCCTGCAGTCCACACACTCACAAACACACAGCCCCCACTGTAAGGTTTAAAAACAAATTGCTGTCATAGTAACACAGTACCTGCTGTCACAGATTTACAGGTCTAACTGACCTCACAAGGGCCAGTTTAAGCAACACATAACATCTACAATTCTGCTTATGTATTTCTCCATCTGAACCAGGTCACACGTGACCTACACAGGTTCTTCACCCACACAGTTTTGGATCACCGACTCACCAACCCACAGGAAGTTATTAAACAAGCCTACACCATTCGACTAGGGCAGATTTTAGGATGTTCTTGGTAACAATACCAAGAACCAATGAAAAAAAGCACTTCAATCTAGGTTCCTGATCAGTTCGACTGACTTTTGAAAGTTACAGTCCAGAGTAGATTGGGAGAGAAGAAGAAAAACAACCACCGACCTCTATAAAAGTTCAGTCAATCATCTGTCCATCTCTGAGAGAGATTTTCTTTTCAGTTTCTGTTTAAAAAAGGATAGAATAGAGTCCACCAACAATTCTCAGTGCAAGGTCGAACTTGTTCTCCCCATTCTCAGTCCAGGTATGTGATTGGTAAGACCTTCGATCAGATAAGATGCCTTTTATAGAGCGCTGTCCTGCTCTGATACCATGATTACGATCAAGAGTGAAGTAGAGAAGAAGAAGAAGAAGAAGAGAGAAGAGAAGGAAGAGAAGAGAGGATTGAGACCAAAAAGTATGTCTGGCGGCGCCAGTCTTTGTATTTATATGTTAGGGCGTCAATAAAAAATAAAAACATAAAAAGATAAAAGTGCCCTTATGGCACATAACTAAGATTACATCAATCACCTTAGCCCAAAGTTTGTCCCTTTCTACCGGCAATCTCCACAACCACTTACCCAACAGAGCCACATTCCTTTTCAAAATATTCCCAACACCTAAGCCACTAAATTTCTTACTTCTACTCACCACCTCCCAACTAACTCTGATCCTTCTTCTCCTCTCCTGACTCCCATAAGATGTCCCTCATCAGTTTTTCCAATCTACTGCTCACTCCCTCTGGAATTCTAAACACCAACAGATAATACACCGGAAAATTAACTAAGGTAGACCRGATCGAAGTAATCCTACCTCCCAAAGATAGGTAGCTTTTCTTCCAAGTGGCCAATCTTTTAGTGAATCTCTCAACAACTGGGTTCCAAAACCTACTATTTCTCGGATTGTCACCCAAAGGAATCCCCAAATAGATCATATTTTCTATAGTTATTTGGATTGAACTGGGTGTTTTCTAGAGAACTTCATCTCCTTATGGTTGATTGACCATCTAAAGCTTTCAATTAAAAGGGATGTCTTTGGACATTTGTGCCTTTTGTCTTATGCTGGAATGTCTGGACTGAAAGGAACAGATTCTTCTGTTCAACCTGTGATAGGAGAAGAGGAAAGAAATATCATTAGGTTGGAGTGCATTTGGCAGAATTTTGTTTGGTTCAACTTTCATGATTTCAGCAAGATGGTTTGTTTCTCCTTGAGATCTGTCAATGTGTAAATAATAGGGGTATACTTGCAAGTTTTTGAGCAGTGTATGTTTTCCACTATACATCTCATTCCCTTAGATGGAGTTACACGTATTTTGAGTACACATTTCATCCACAATACAATCCTTTACATTTACTTTTCAAAAAAAATTACCAAATGCTTACCTGCATAAAATCTTGAAGATTATCCCTTTCTATTCGGTTCAGTTGGTGAAATGGTTGTACAGTGAATGTTACACTATCATCAAGTATTCTAAACAGCATCACCTGCACATAATAAACAAGAAAATTGATAAAAAAAAGGCTCAATGACAAACTTTATGCTCTACTTAATAACAAGAATACATATTATTTGCACGTGCAACATTTTCAGGGAAAGCATGCAGAAACATCAAAAGAACTTCTTTTCTCATCTCATAAATTACATGAAAACAGCATGTAAAATATACTGGATAAAAATGCATGTACATAAGAAATACAACGATGAATGACACATACAAGAATGTTTTTCAACACTAAAAATCAGAAGGGAACTTACAGGTATGATCTCCAATATTGCACATATATGTTCCACATACTCCAAGGAGTAATAAGCAGAGACAACTGTTTCATCTGGACTGTAAGCATTAAGGAATTCAACTTTGGATTAAGTCTCATTAAACAGGCAGATAGCATGAGAACATGCTACTAAAAACATAAACCAGCATTTGCTAGAAATTTGGATATTATTAAACAGAAGTATATGTATAATAGTGGGACCATAGTTACTTGCTGAGAGTATGACCAGTCAAGTGAGATAGAATAATCAAATTATGAATTATGAATTTCAAAATTCTTATATGGAGCAGATTCAGAGGTTAAAACCTAAGTATAGCTTATGGTTACTGGAATAGGTAGCATTGTGGCTATTGGTACAGATGGCAGCAGAGGACTGTAGGCTAGAGCAGTAAATTAAAAGCACACCCTCCTTTTCTGAAATAGTACACAAAAGTTGCATTTATGCCTTTAACCATATCAAATTATTTGCGGGCAATCTCCAAAGTTTAAGAGTCCAATTTTCCATTAACAAAAGAACTCTAACCCATTTATCCTCAGCCTGGTCCTAAATTTGCAGGATTTATAGGGATTGGAAAAAAAATGACCATTATTTCTGTTAAAGAATAAAACCTATTCAAGGACCTCAYTTAACAGCTTAAGATTTTAGGTTGAATGGTTCTTTGAGATGGTATCAGAGCCACTTTGACCAAGTGACCTAGTGTTTTCTCATCACCCCCATTATAATTAATTTTCAGCACAAGGTATAGGTGGGCCTGTGCTATCCACGCTTCAAGCCCAATGGGCTTTCGTGTGAGGGAGCATGTTAGAGAATAAAACCTATTCAAGGGCCTCACTTAACAGCTTAAGCTTTTAGGTTGAATGGTTCTTTGAGAATTTCCACTAAAATGCAAAGGTATGTCCATAGTAACTCTATAAATCCTGTTCTCAGAACTAAATGTCATCCTCCCACCATTGGCAAATAAAAAGGGCAGCCCAGTGCAAGAGGCTCCACCAATTCGTGGTCTGGGGAGGGATAGATGTACGCAGCCTTACCCCTGCAAATACACAGAGAGGCTGTTAAGATTCAAAACCTGGTCACCCAGGTCACAATGGAACAACCCAACTGTTGCGCCAAGGCCCACCCTCACCACTGACAACAATAGAGAAAAATAAAGACGTTTTGTTGTTGATCTATAACAGAAAATACAGAGATATACACGCACACAAGAAGGGAAAGAAATAAATGATAGTACACAAGAGGTATGCACCAGGGGAGGACCAAGCCTATATATTAAAAAAAGAGATGCCAACACAACCTCCACAATACCCTACATAGAAACAACAGAAGCTATTCCACAAAACAAAACAAGCATGAGCTGATTGATTAAGGAAAGACACACTAAGGCTCAGTTTGGAAGGAGTACATATGCAAATATGTAGAGTACAAAACCTTGTATTTTGTATTATTTTATATGTATTTGCACTCAACATATTTGGATTTGCACTCCTTCCAAACTGAGCCTAAAGCACACATAACAAGATGCACTATCCTCACATGGAGTCCAGAGGCCAACCATTGAGAGCAATCACAACAGAGAGAGAGAGAGAGAGAGAGAGAGAGAAACCAAAACAAGTCTAAAACATCCTTCAACATGGAGTAGGGAAAATACCACAATCAAGGATCAAATCTTAAAAATGATAGACAAGTGTCATCAATATCCCAACAAAATGAAAAGAGCCCAAAACCCCAGTCCAACCCTTATCAAGCAATACCGATTAAAGTAAGAACTACTATCTTTCTCATTATACTTCTTTCCTCTCTTGTCACTAGCTTCCCCATTAGAACAATCATTGATTCCCCATTCAAGGAATTCTCAAACACGGGCAGAGCCAGTATCTCCATCATGCTTCTTAATCTACAATAAAAGAAGAGGGGAAGCAGCCCTTGGAAGAGCAATAGACTCAAGTGACTTTAGAAATTAGTCATAGCCTAATATTCCTATAACCTCTTCTCATCTGCTTCAAAGAGGATAAGTAATTCTCATAGAAGTAATGGGCACTCTTCAGATAAGAAAAGAAACAGAAGCAATGCACACTCTACTGATTACACCCAAGAAAACAAGTCCACTGAAAGACAATGGTCACTCTAGATTACCAAAAAGGAAAGAAAAAAGAAATTCACCAATAGAGTTCTCAAAAAAAATAATGGACACTATAGATTAGACAAAAGAAATCATGCTATATAATCCATGTATGGTTTAGCCTTCCAACATTTGTTATGGGGAAAGTTATTGTTAATCAATAAGATAAGAGGACACCAAGAGTTACCAATGTATATAAAAACTTGAGGCAGTTTAAACTTCTTATCACAGACAATTATCAACTTCATAACCGAACAGCAAGCATAAATCCAGGCAATACAAAATTAACTAATACATAACAAAGCATAGAAAATCCAAAATAGCAAACCTGCAGTTTTCTGATATTCGGACTAGTGGTGCATGTAGCAGTGATTGAAATTTGAGAAAAAAAGAATGCAGATTGAGCACAATGAATGGATCTTGCTGAATTTTCTTGTGCAACTGTTTAGTAAAATCTTCAATAAATCCCCATGCAAAGACAGCATCAGTTATCTGTACGAATTAATAACCATCATTGCTGCAGGATGTGTATTGAACAATGTGTAAACAATGTTGTTACATATAAGGTATAAACATGACAACAATAACAGCAACAAGCTCCTAGAGAAAATCTTGCTTTTGATTAGTATAATTGCAATCGGTCGAACTAAACGTATATGATATTGACTTTTTTGGTAATAAATATGAAAAAATAAAGTTTTATTAATAAAAGAAAAGAGTACATCAAAAGGTGATGAGAAATCACCAAGGACAAACACAACGTATTCTTTTGTCTATAACCTTAGTTTCTTAGCTTTGTTAAATGATTTGGAAAATATAATAATTTAAAAAGGTGTGCCTATGCTTCTTTTATCATGTCATAAAATATCAATCTATATTTTTGCATATTTTACAATGTTTCCACCATTTTTATTGGAAATAATGTTTCCACCATGTCTAAATTTTTTACAACATTTCCGACATGTTTCCTATATTTGGATGACTGACATTTCCACTGACATCAACATTTTAAACCTTGCATGCTCCTTGCCTGTCATTTTTTAGCCAATCAACCACTACCTTAGAGTCCCCTTCAATTATCATGTTGCTCAAGTTCAACCTTTTTCCCAAATTGAGTCCATTCAATAGGGCAAGTGTTCACCCTTGTAGAATTCCCAACACCAACTGGTCCTGAAAAGAGAGCTAATATTCCACAAGTTTCACAGCAGGTTTCATACACTACCTTTCAAGTTATTAGCTCTGATTTACATAAACATAAATATATACAAAACCAAAACTACAAGATATAAGTTACTAAGAAATAAATGAGCTTTCAGGACATAAAAAGATACCACAGAAAAGGTTGAAAGAGCATCGTGGTGTAAATTGAGGGCTTGAAGCATATCCTGCAGGTATTTCTGAATTCCCAAAATATGTTGCTTAATTTGCAAGTTTTCCTTAACCTGAAAGATTCAGATAAAGTAAACCACAATAGAAAAGATTTTTCACAACGTAACCAGAAAAACATTCTATAATTCTAACTATGGTAGTTTGCATCTAGATGGAACTTATGAACATGGTAGACTTATCAATGTCTGCAGGTTGAGATCTTTTTTTTTATAGTTATCTCTCTTGGATACCCCACCCTTCAGACAAGGTACCCATGCCTAATTTTGTCTTATAGTGTGCCTTTTCATGGGTCCTACCATGTCTGCATGGTGAAGTATCCAAGAGTTGTATAAATTCATTGATTGCTGGCATTCTCCTTTGAGTAATACCTCATAAAATTGTTCAATTTCTTTAAATTTAGAAATCATATGATACAGTTTCCTTCCAACAGTTCCAAATTTTGTATATTCCATTGAGCAAATCTGCAAACAAATAATATTATCAGTACCAGGCATTTAGGAAAGTCATAATGTAAGGAAAAGATATGGCATGTTTGAGCATATAGTTCTACAAAAGAACACAGACAAGGGATCATTTTTTTAAAAGGTTGTCTATTGGTAAAATCCATGTACATTTAATAAAGGAAAAAATTGCCAAAGCAATAGGATACTACCATAAAAGCAGCAAACTTAGTAGATAAAAAGTCATCAAAAAAAGGTGTTCTAATAAATTAACAAAAATCCTAGGATAAAAATATTTATACATCATGTTGAACATGACTATTCATCAGAAACCTTTGAGCCAAGGTTAAGAAAGACTGTTGGAAAACTTAGAAACCCACTAATAACTATAATGATGAAAAGTACAGGCCCTGGTACATCAACACACCCTCACCAATCAATCCCAACCAAAAACTAAGAAAATCTGATTTTTAGTAGATACAAAAGGTAACCCACTAATACATATTAAGCTTTTGAATAATGTTGAACACAATTCCCTAGCCAGTGGCTAATCAAAATATCTGATTTTTCTTTGTGTTTTTTTTAGCTCTATGTTGTTTGTATCAGTGACTTAAAAGGTGCATGCTTCTAGGCAAGGCATTGGAGAAAAGTGCCAAGCCATATGGCGGAGGCGTACATATACATGAGGCATATGCTCTTATATAAAAGGCATACAAAGGTGTACACCTCACAATAAAGTAGACATACACCTATGTTACACTTTATACAGTAAGTGTACGCCTCAAAAATTTTTCATCTTAAGCCTTGTTTTACATTAAAAGCTATAAATGCATGGGGGCACCATTATACTTCATCATCACGACAAGTTCTTGGAGGTCTTTCTCATATCTGTTTTGCAGGGTTCTCCCCTCTATACTTCATCATCACGCAGAGGTGTGACGCAAGGCGTTCCACTACCTAGAGGCGTGAGGCATAGTTCAGAACGTAAGGGACGTAAGCCTCCTTAAGAGGAGGGAGGATGAGGAGGAAGGAGGGAGGAAGAAGAGGAAGAAAATTCTCATTTTTCTTTTCCTTTCCCTTCCTTTCCTTTTCTTTTTCTTTCTTTTTTCTTTTTTTTTTTTTGTCATTTTACATGAGGTGTGCATGAGGCATACGCATCTAGCACGCCTCATGAAAAAACGTATGAGGTGTACGTCTCTTGCACCTAAGGCATACACCTCAGAGGTATCGACGCTAGGGGTGCTCACGGTTCGGTTAACCGAACCGTGGGGTATTTTTTCAAACTAAACCGACTTGATCGATTTTTTAAATATCCAAACCGAAACCGAACTGATGCAACCGGTTAACCGGTTAACTGCGGTTCGGTTTTTCGGTTTTTTTATGCACTTAAAATTAAAAATAAAAAATAAAACTGTCAGTGTCGGACTGGTTGGTGCCAGTGGTTGCTGTCGGCTGTCGCCTGAAGTGAGAGCTTGAGAGGTGGTGCCTGGCAGAGCCGCAAAGAGGAGAGGTGAGAGAGAGAGAGAAGAGAGATACAGAAATCAGAGATGGCGTTGGTGCTTGCTTGCCGGCAAGGCGGAGACCAGCGTTGTCGCTTGGTGCTGGTGGTTGGCGCGGGCCACGCGGCCGTCTAGGGAATTCTAAGAGTCGAAGAAGACTAGAAGAGTAAGATTGTAAGAGAGACTAAGAACTTCGAATAGAACTGAGAGAGACGAAAGAGAAAAGACTGAGAGTGAGAGAAGGTTTAGTCATTTAGGTTTCTAATTCGAAGAGATAAAGAGAAGAAAGGCTTGAAATTTTTCGATTTTCGAGACTGAGAGACTGGAAGTCTCCAGCAAAGGCAAACTACCGAATAAACTTTCAATTAAAACTTCATTCGATTTTCAAAAAAAATAAAAAATATAATATATAATACTATATAAATATATAGTATTGTATATATATCGGTCGGTTCAGTTAACCGTTGGTTTTTTAAATGGTTAATCGAAACCGGACCGAAACTATCGGTTTTTTAAGAATATTAAACCGAAACCGAACCTACCGGTTCAGTTAACCGATTTTTCAGTTCAGTTTCGGTCGGTTCGGTTTTTCGGTTTTTTTTGCTCACCCCTAGTCGGCGCCCCTGGCATACGCCTCCCACACCTTTTAAAACACTATATATATATAATTCTACAACCCCAAATTGAATATTCCAACCATTCTTTTGGCACTCATTGAGCTTATAAATGCCTTGAGACAACGATTTGAGAAGAGATTTAGTGTAATTCACATATCTAAAATAACGCAAAAAAGAAAGAGAAAGATGGAAGAGAGAAAGTGTAGAAGAAGAAGACAAAAGAGAAAGGAAGAAAGGGAAGAAGGAAGAGTGTCAATCGAACCTCCCTCCAGTCTCCCCCAAAATTTATCTTTTATTCTTTGGTTGTAATGTGAATACAATTACATGAATACCCTTAGTAGGGTGGCCAGCACTAAAAGCAATAAGAAAAGGAAGAAAACAGGCCCACTAATCACGAACATAAAACATAAACAGAATTGAATAAAAAGAAGGAAACTATGGAACATTCGGTCCATCATCTCTACAATTTCTAAGTCGAAATGGTATAAGACGTGGACGAAGCTTCCAATAAGTGTCTCTGGTATGTTTACGCTTCTTACAATAATCATAGATCAAGTCCATCTTGTCATCCCTTCATTCACGACCACCTTATACCCACCAGGCTTAGGTTTTATTGTGCTAACCATAGCCAACTACTCAAAAGCGTATGCTTGAGAAAGAACATGTTGTCGTGCAATGTCATATTTGTTGTTAGAATAATTTGTTAGTTGTTTCTGCAGTTATATTTTATGCTGTCAGTCTTAGAGTGTTGTCAGCTTGTTTATTGTCTTTTTATTATTGTGTTATTAGGGTGTGCCGCCAGGGGCAAGCATATAATTCCCCAACTTTTATTTTTCATCTCATTAATATGAATAGAAGGCTGGGTGCCACCAGCCTAAAGTTTTTGGCTCCCAAACAGCAGTTCTCTCTTCCTCTTCTCTTCTCTTCTTCTTCTCTTCCTTTCTTCTCTCTTCTTCTTCCTTCCTTCTCTTCTTCCTAGAAGAAAACATGGTATCAGAGCAAACTTTTGGGCAATAGGAGGACTCGTCTCTCTGAAAATTCATCTCTTCTCATCAGATTTTTTTTTTTTTTTGAACTGTGAGGTGCAAGAACCCAATCGGACTGGCCAGAATTCTCAGACTGATTTTTCTGGGTTCTCCCTTGGTCGTAACACCAAGGAAATCCTAGTTGGTGACAGCCAATGCTGTGAAGGCTGTGTTCTGGTTATGTTCACCTTTGTACAGGTGCTGTATAGGGGGTTGTGTACTCCCTCGTGACAGGAATGTGCTGTCCTTTTTAATGTGTGGCTTGTGTAGCCTAATGGTGATTGAAGACCGAGTGTTTTTTGGTCTGTTAGTTACTGGTAGTAGTGTTTCAGCAGTGGTGTTCCATTCTAGGAGGCAGATTGGTACATGTTTTGTGCCCTACGTGTATGCTGGATAGTAGAAATAGGGTGGAAACTTATTTCTGGGTACATCAGTGGCTCTTCTTGAATTGTAGAACCTCCCTAATATGGAAACTGATGATTCAGCTTCGTCTGGGGTTACATCAACCCATGGTACAGTTGGTATGAATGCTGAGAATATGTTTTTCCTGATGCCAATCACCCCTTTGAATGGTTTGAACTATCTAGAGTGGGCTAAAGGTGTAAAACTATATATTACAGCTAGGGGAAAAGCTGGATACATAAATGGGAGAGTAAAAGAACCTAAAGGTGGGACAGCTGAACATGAGAGGTGGGATCAAGACAACAGTATGGTGATGTCTTCGCTACTTGCAGCCATGGAACCAGGTGTAAAGAAGAATTTTATATGGGCAAAGACTGCAAATGAGATCATGGGAACAAGCTAAAACTACCTACTCTGAGCAAAGACACTATGCTAAGATTTATCAGTTACAAGCTGAATCCTCAACCTGTAAACAGGGTGACTGCAGTTTGTCAGCATATTGTTCAGCCCTTACCTCTGTTTGGAAGGAGTTTGATCACTATCAGACTATAGAATGGAAGAATGATGATGATGCCAAAGCTTATAAGAAGTTGGTATCTCAGCACCGGGTCTTTGCTTTCCTGTTGGGATTGAATCCTATGTATGAGCCTCTAAGAGTTCAAATTTTGGGAAGTCGTGAATTGCCTTCAGTTCAAGAGGTGTATGCCTTGGTCCAATCTGAGGAAAATAGACAGTGTAATGGTTGCAAATGAGGGGGAGCAACAGATTGCATTAGCTGCAACAGGTGGTACTAATGTAAAAGTGATCCCAAGAAAGCTGATGACAAGTACAAGTTGTGGTACTCACTGCCGGCGCTCAAGACATACTTGTGACACATGCTGGGAGCTCTTTGGGAAACCGAAGTGGGCCGTAAAAAAGGAAGAGCAAGGTAAAGTGCAGGGTCAGAAGAAGTACAATGTAGAAAATATGGCAGCTCAAGATTCTCAGTCTACTGGTAAACCTGGTACCACACAGGAACACTCCACGAGTTCTGACCCCAAGGAGGATATCATGAACCCCTTCCGTAATCACCTGGAATTGTATGGTAAGGCTTTATGTCAGATGAACAACTCAGTTACCGGTACCCCTTCTACTTCATTTGCATCTACATCAGGTAATGTGGCCTCTGCCTTCCATATTTCGAATACCACTGATTCCCCTTAGATTATTAATTCAGGGGCCTCGAAACACATGACCGATAAGCCAAATCTTTTCCAGTCTTATAGCCTGTTGCCTGGGAGAGATAAGGTGAGGCTTGCAGATGGATCATTCTCATCCATTGCAGGTCAGGGATCAATATCTCTCCCCCATGGCCTCAACCTTAATAATGTGTTGCATGTACCTAAACTTCCTATCAATTTGCTTTCCATTAGTAGTATCACAAATTCCTTAGACTGTAGTATAACCTTCTTTCCTGGTTMATGTATTTTTCAGGATCT